TTGGTTTTGTTGACTGTTTCCTTTGCTGTGCAAAAGCTTTTTATCTTGATGAAGACCCAATAGTTCATTTTTGCCCTTGCTTCCCTTGCCTTTGGTGATGTTTCTAGGAAGAAGTTCCTGCGGCTAAGGTTGAAGAGGTTGCTGCCTGTGTTCTTCTCAAGGATTTTGATGGATTCCTATCTCACATTGAGGTCCTTCATCCATTTTGAGTCTATTTTTGGGCACACCGATTTCTTAAAACACCCTAACAGACTTCAGAAAATAAACTGAAGTCTGATTAGTTGTAACGGAGTGCCACTTTTCTTCTTTAAATTGGTTTGAATAATCACAGGTGCTGCCGCCACTTCTCATTATGAAATAGAATGGCATCTCTAAATAGTCCTTGCTTTGGAGGAGAAAATAGTCTTATATTTAGTTGACTCTGTACTCTTTATGTCTGCCTCCTCTTCATGTTGACATTTACAAGTCTATAGGAAGCCAGAATTTTGTACTATGGTCATAATTCCTTTGGACTAAAGCTAAGTTTATAAGCAAAGAATATACAGGAGATCTCTGAGGGTTTTAAAAGCACTTTCTTTTATATTTTCACCTGGTATGAAGCACTGTGACTGGCATTACAGAAAGTGAGGGGGGGAAAAGGCTGCCACAGAAACTATACCAAGACCGTAAATTGGTGGGAAGAAATATTGGTGTTTAAGTGACTAATAAATGTTAAATTATGGGGCTCATGTTTAATGTACATAACCATGTCACCAGTTTCTTAATTTACATGATGAGTAGGAAGACATGATTTTAGTGATGGTTGTAGTCCTGGTGTCTGGGGTAAAAGGGCAAGGAGCTGGGCAAGGTGAGTGGTTCTCAAACTTGAGTGTGCATTATCAGTAACATTTACAGGACTTGTTAAAACACAGATTGAGGGGCCCACCCCCAGATTTAGGACCAATAAATCTGACCTGGGGCCCGAAAATTTGCATTTTGACAAGTTTGCTGATGATACTAATGCTTCTGGTTTAGGGTCCACAGTTTGAGAACCACTAGCTTACAGTAAAGAGTGCATGATTGCATGACAACAAACCAAAAGGTAGCCCAGATTTGAAGTTTGTTCTTGCCCTGTTCATTCATATGTCTATTTATTGTGAGCTTCTTCTGGCCAGAACCAATGTATTACTCTCTGTTCTTCACCAGGGTCTAGTAGAGTGCCTGGCACATAATAGACGGTACATATTTACTGGGTAACCCACCCTCCATTGGTCCCCTCTGATAGCTCCATTGATGCCTGATTCAAATTCTCAAAACATTTCTAAGACAATTCCACCAGCACAAAATTCCTCAAGTTTCAATTCAAAAGAATGACTCAAAGAGAGCATTTCTTTGGTTCCATGGGATCACTTTATGCTTTCTTCGATTTGAGGACAAATGATCATTGTTGTGGTTGAAGAAAAACAAAATACAACTATTAAGACATTGTAGTGAGTACAGATAAAAATGATAATCTTAGCTCCAAAAAGCAATGGCACTTGAATATTCAAGCTATTTTATAAGGTGTAATGAAAAGTAATAATTTAACCTCCTAAATTTCAAGCAACTTCACTTTAGTATTTTTATTCATTTATTCAATTGGCATTTATTACTCTTTGTAGGTGAGTTATTAGTCCTTTATCCTTCTTTGGTACCTGATAATACCTCTATTATAGCACTGATCACACTTTATTGAAAAAAAATTTCATGTCTATTTTCCTCAGTAGTCATATAGTCTCCTTAAATATATATCCCTATGGATTACACTTGGTATTAGAAATATAAAAAAACGAGCATCACAGAGAGACATTGCCTTAAAAAACTTTCCATTTGAGAAGAGGAGACAAGAATGTACATTAGTGTACATAGCCATGGGCTGGAAAGGTGCTCAGGCCATGCAGTTTGGACAACCTTTGGTTTTTGACATGGATTATGATAATTATATGAAACCAAAAGAACTCCAGAATACTGTTTCCCAACTTTTAGAAAGTGGAGGATGGAACAGAAGAGATGTTGATCCTTTCCATCTTTATTTCTGCAACCTTAAAATAGATGGTGCTTATCATAAAGAGTTAATTAAACGTTACGGAGAAAAATGGGACAAATTGCTTTTAACAGCAACAGAAAAGTCTCATGTAGATTTACTCCCAAAGGATAGTATTATATATTTACTGCAGATTCTCCCAATGTTATGACTACTTTCAAGCATGATAAAATTTATATAGTGGGATCTTTTGTTGATAAGGCTATGCAGACAGGCACATCCCTAGCCAAGGCAAAACGGCTGAAGCTGGCAACAGAATGCCTTCCATTAGATAGATATTTACAGTGGGACACTGGTACCAAAAATCTCACCTTAGATCAAATGATGCGTATTTTGTTATGTCTGAAAAACACTGGTAGTTGGGAAGAGGCTCTGAAGTTTGTTCCTAGGAGAAAACATACTGGTTATCTGGAGATTCTTCAGCATTCTCAAGAGTTTGTCAACAGATTGAAGAAGTCAAAGATCTTTAATTCATTTTCAAAAGGCTCTCTAAATAGACACACACAGAAAAGGTGGCTTAAATGAGAAAATTTGATAACTTAAAAAATAAATAGTCACAATATATGTAAATCAAACCATGATGCTGTATGCCTAAGCTTACACTGTAATGAATGTCAGTTATTTCTCAATAAAACTGGAAGAAAAAATGGAGTGGGGGAAAAAAAAAACCCACAAACAATTGTAATAGTCTATGTATATTTTTTTCACTAGAAATGTCAAACTGTTAAAAAAAAAAAAAAAAAAGAAATGTCAAACTGTTGGGGAAAAAAAGATCCTATTCATCTTGAGAGCAAGGACAGAGTATCTCATGCAGTCTTATAAAATGTCCTATTCATAATAAATGCCCAATGAGTCATTGTTGAATTTAATGATATAATTTGATAGACATACAGAAGGCTTCCAAGGGCAGGAACCGTATCATATCTGTGTACATCCTTCGCATCGTGAACAATGCCTTACATATAGTTAGGAAGCTGGTATACCTGGAAGTTCTCAGGTGCATTAAGTTATTCAACTCCAAAGTGTCTTAGCTCTACATATGATTTACAACTCTAAGAAAAAGAAACTCCTCCCTAATAATCTTAAAATCAGAAGTCTTGCACTGAGGTCCGGAAACTGCACAGTGCTGCATTTAAAACAGCAACAAGGAAATGAAATAGGGAGATTACAGTCTAAGCTGATACTAAAATAAGATGTGTTAAGATGAAATTATAGCTGGATAAAGGTATCAGGAATTTTATCAGGTCTTTGCCTAGGCCTCATTGTGCAGGCAAAGGGTAGAATAATTTAAAAAAATAATAATAAGAGTGAAGACATGGACTTATTTCTACCTACCCTCCAAAACCAGAGGATTTGTGGACGCTTAACATAAACTACTAAAATGTACATTGGCTAACGTCTCCATAGTCATGATTTATTAGCTTTGGCAGTGTTCTTTTCTGTTTAAGTTCAGATCAGGCTGGTGTGCAAGGAGTGACGATATTGAGGAATGTTTAAAAAAAATTCTACCTCAAATTGCCAACTAACAGGGAAAAAGGATATTTCATAGATACATCTGAATAACTAAAGTGTGCTGACGTGTTAACACGAAAACTCCTACGATATATGAAGAAATGTGTTATATTCGTCATTTTACCATGGAGCCAAGATATTTATAAGTCATAGTACTGAAAGAAGGATCAACTATTCATACTGACTTAATTTGCTTTATTTTCTGAAACTCACAAGTCGAGATGCAGATGACCGTGTTAACACAGCATGATTCTGTAGGTTGGCATTTGGGACCTCTTTTGGTCTGTGCTCTGATTTTGTGTGGTTTGATACAATGTGCCCCATCAACTTCCTGAAAGTCTGGTGTTGTGGTATCAATGCATTCAGGGTGTGAATGCCTCGGACTACATGGGAAGGAGCCATTTATTTGTTTGGTGAAAAGAAGGAAAATAGGAATTTTAGATACTTATACTTTGCAATCAATTATACATCCTTAGTGATGTCCATTCTGTCCATTTTCTTTTTTTAAATTTTATTATGTTAATCACCATACATTACATTGTTAGTTTTTAACGTAGTGTTCCATGATGCATTGTTTGCGTATAACACCCAGTGCTCCATTCAGTACGTGCCGTCTTTAATACCTATCACCAGGCTAACCCATCCCCCCACCACCCTCCCCTCTAGAACCCTCATTCTGTCCATTTTCTATCACAGGAGACCAACTCTTTCATTGTGAAATAAACCTAAATCATAATATTGTTCAGTGAATAAGTGCATGCATATATTGTATTTAAAAAGCCCTTGTACATAATGGTGCTGTCCACTTTTTTTAAACCGCCTTACTTTATTCTTGATCCATTAAAAATCCACAGGTTTTCTTAGTTTTGAAAAATATTACATAGAGGACATTTTACAGCATATAGGTTATAGAAACTCAGACTTCTGATTATCATTTCTTTGGGTGTTTAATGAACGTGCAAAGTACTTCCTATCATGGCGAAGCTTGAAAACATTTTTTATAGTAGAAAGATTTCTCGCGGTGCTTGGGTGGCTCAGTCGTTAAGCCTCTGCCTTCAGCTCAGATCATAATCTCGGGGTCCTGGGATCGAGTCCTGCATCGGGCGCTCTGCTCAGCGGGGAACCTCCTTCTCCCTCTCCCTCTGCCTCTCCCTCCGCTCCTGCTCACTTGCTCTCTCTCAAATAAATAAATAAAATCTTAAAAAAGAGAGAGAGATTTCTCATACTCTGAAATGCTTTATACCATGGGGTAGGGTAGATTCTCAGCAATATTCCTACCTCCCACACTCATAGCAGATGTACCCTCTTTTTTTGGTGAGTTCAGACCTGGTCTCATACATCTTCTCCATACCTGCTCCAGGTAGTCACCATCAATTGATGGGTGACTAAAATAAAAGCCTTTTGCGCTTTGGTTCAAGGTTTCATTTTCTCTCAAGGATGAAACTCAGCATCTAAGATCCAAAGATGTATGTACAAACCCAGACTCCCAAGCAAAATTGACAAAATTTTAAAGCACACAGATTTCCCTTTCCCTAAAAATTCAAAAACTCCTTGGCAGAATTTGCAATAAAGGAAACCAATTTTTTTGTTTGTTTTCCTCTCCTTTTCTTTTTTTCCACTTTTTTCCATCCCACTTGAAACTGATTTAATTGCCATTCAGCCTGGAGAATGCATTGGTATTTAGTTGATTTTTTTTTTTTTGCAATTTAAAAAGTAAGTGTAATTTATTCCAAAGTGGATTCTTTCAGAATATATATGTGTAAACGCAAGTGTGTATATCTATCTGTTTATTTATCTATATCATTGACCAATAGAAAATATTTTATGTAAAGTATGACAGCAGATTTCCTATTGTCATATCTGTATTTTTTTATTATTATTATGTTATGTTAATCACCATACATTACATCATTAGTGTTTTTTTTATTCATTTGTTTGGGTTTTTTTTATTCTTATGTTAATCCCCATACATTACATCATTAGTTCTAGATGAAGTGTTCCATGATTCATTGTTTGTGCATAACACCCAGTGCTCCATGCAGAACGTGCCCTCCTCAATACCCACCACCAGGCCAACCCATCCTCCCACCCCCCTCCCCACATCATTAGTTTTTGATGTAGTGTTCATTTTAACAACTACAGCAAGGTCAGTATGTTGATCTGAAGTGGGAAGAAATGTAAGTAACATTGAATATCTTCTATTTGTCAACATGGATATCTTCTATATTTTAAAAAATCTTACCTTTTTACCTCACAACAGTCCTAAGGAGGAATAATAAATTTCATGTTTATTGTTAAGAAATGAGACCGTGTAGGATTGAATTACTTGCTCAAGTCATGCAGCCCTTAAGTGGCAAAGCCAAAATCCAAACAAATTTATGACTGCCCACAAGGACCTTGGTTGTTTTATGAAACCTTAAATATTTTATTTGTTCCTTTGCTTATACTATGTATGATTCCTAAAATGAGTTAACAGAATCTGAATAAGTAAACCCATAGATTAGGACTTCTGGATGCTTTCAACCATTTCCTTTAGATTTTAGTTATGCCTATGTTCCTGCACTAGGCAGGGAATTAAACCTACCATTGTTGTAAAAAAAAAGAAAAAAAAACTATATAAACATAATGCCATGTAAAATTAAAATAATGCTCAACATAGAGCATTTTCTTTTAAATATTGGCTATTTTTATTCTTACACAGCCATAAAAAAGGATGAGAGCTTGCCATTTGGGACAAGTTGGATGGACCTAGAGAGTATAATGCTAAGTGAAATAAGCCAGGCTGAGCAAGACAAATACCATATGACTTCACTCATGTGTATAATCTAAAAAACAAAACAAAGAATAAACAAAGAAGCAAAAGCAGAATCAAAAGTATAAGAATAGAGAACAAACTGATGGTTGCCAGACAGGAGGGGAGTGGGGGGATGGGCAAAATGGGTGAAGGGAAGTGGGAGATACAGGCTTCCAGTTATGAAATGAGTAAGTCACAGGAATAAAAGCACAGAATACGGAATAGTCACTGATATTATAATAGCATTGTATGGTGACAGATGGTAGGTATGGTGAATCACTATGTTATATACTTGGTACCATTGTGTATCAACTGTACTCAAATTTAAAAATTATAAATAAATAACTATCGACTATTTTTGTTTTATGCATTTCTATTTAAATCTTAGAATTTTCTTATCAATGTATATAAAATTACCTCCTGGGATTTTTTATTGAAACTGCATTGAATTTATAGATCAGCTTATACAGAATTGGCATATTTACAATATTAAGATCTCTAATACATGGTCATACATACATAGAATACATAATATTCTATTTATTTAGGTCTTCATTGAATTCTCTCAGCAGAGGTTTTGTAAATCTTTTAAGTTTATTCCTAGGTATTTAAGAATTTTAATACTATTATAAATAGTGTATCTTTACAAAAATAGTGTATCTTTTAAATTTTTATTTTCTAATTATTTAAAAAATCAGTATTTTATATTAGCCTTGCATCCAGTGTACTTGCTGAGTTCACCTATTAATTACAGATCATAAATCTTTTGGTTTTTCCACATAGAAAATATGTAATTTATGAATTATGCCTGCTTCTTTTCAAACCCTTATAATTTTTACTTTTTCTAGCTCATATCATTTCTTAGGACCTCCAGCACAATTTTTAATGGAAGTGGTGATATCATAAAGCATCATGATCTCACTTCCTCTTTCAGAGAGAAAGCTTTTAATATTTCACCATTGTTGTTCTCTGTAGATTTTATGTTAGTACTACTTATTAATTTAGGAAAATTACCATTTTACTTATAGTTTGATAAGAAATTTTTACATTTGTTTAGTCATGAATAGGTATTCAATTTTATAAATGCTTTTCTCCATATCTGTTGAATTAATCACATGATTTTTCTCTATTCTTTTAGGTGATAAATTGCATTGGCTTTTTTTTTAAGATTTATTTATTTATTTGGGGGGGCAGTGGGGGAGAGAGAGAAAGTCTCAAGCAGGAGGAGCCTGATGCTTGATTTCACAACCCTGTGATCACAACCTGAGCCCCTGAGCCAAAACC